ATCGAGGAGAGAGATTTCAGATTCATGTAGCAATAACCAAATAGTCTTCCTGAAAATGTGAGACAGGCTTCTTAGAATCGATGCAAAACACATGTTGTTTATTCCTTATGTTGCCTCAATAATACATTTTATTTAAAGTAAAGGATAAGGATCATGGTCATTTCTTCAAAAATTAAAACGTTTATGGCAGCCGGAATAGTAATATCTTTTCATAATTAATTTTCAGTATTTTCAATAAGGAATTCTTCTTTGCCAACATTTGCAAGATGGCAGCCAAAATCGCCATGATAGCCGAACCTGCCTCATTTCAGAACAAAGGAATGTGAGCTGTAGTCACTGGAACATGACATAATGTTCTATATGACATCATCGAAGATCCAAAGTCTACCATGTGAGTGTTTTATTGTGGAGAAAGTCCCAGACAAGACTCCATATTTAGAAGAGAGGCCGAACCAAGGATTTAACCGCGAGAAACAAAACTGAGCAAAATGTCGTGCTTTAGGAGAAGATCTAAAAAGGACAAGCTGATTGAAATGCTTGAACACCAAGTGATGGAGTTGGAGGAACAACACCTGAGTGTGGTAGAGGATCTGAAGAGAGAGAAGCAACAGCTGGTGAAGACTCAACAGGAAGAGAGTCGACAACAGCAGCAGCAAGTGAGACAGCTCCAGTCTGCCTTAGAGACGGCTCTACTGCAGGCTTCAGAGAGCTCCACTTCTGCCCAACGCCAACTGGAGAATACTGTTCAGGAGAAAACAGTTCTCCAAGAGACTCTGAGTGAAACCACAGGACAACTGCAGAAGGCTCACGAGGAGATTCAAGCCTTGAAAGACGCAAATGTAGAAAAAGCCAAGCGGTATATGTCAATCGTCACCAAGCACCAGGACGAGAAACAGGTGATGTTTGACAGAAACCAGGAGGCGATGGACCTGTTGAACACTCAAATACTGGATGCCAACAGCACCATAGACAGGCTGAAGACCCAGATGCAGGAGCAAGAGACAAAACTGGGGACAGAAGCTGCTCAGTTAAAGAGAATGCTGGCCGAGACCAAGAAAGAGCTAGAGGACTATAATGTAAATGTCGTCATGAAAAACTCTGTCATTGCTGCAATGGAGGCAGAAAAGGCCAAAGTCAAAGCTGAGAACACCAAGCTTAAGACTGACATTCTGCATCAGGAAAGTCAGCTGAAATATGTACACGCTGCATCAGAGAAAAGACCTCTCGTGGCACGGAATAAGTCCATGAGGTGGAAGAGGCTGTGAAGGAGGCCAGGAGGACCGCAGATCACACCATCCAAGAACTGAGGATGAAAAGTGAGCTGAAAGACAAGGCAATCAGCAAACTGAAAGAAAGCAAACAGAAGGAGAAGGAGCAGCTGGCCAGAACCCAGAAAAGGTTGATAGAGTGTCGCACAAACTCCGACAAGAAAAGCTCTTTTATTACAGAGATGGAGGTGTACATCGCAGAACTCAAAGCCGAGAATAGACAGTTGTTGGACCGAAGTGATGTCTGCGAAGAGGAGGACGAGTATGAGGTTCATGAGGAGTATGAAGACGACCACGAGACCACAGAAGAGTGGGAGGAAGAATATACAGAGATGGAAAACAATTGAGCAAAGCCTTCTTTAAGAGATCCAGAAGTGAAGACCATCCTTGGAATCGTCTGAAGAGGAAAGAAGAAAGTTAGAGAGTGTGGCAAGAGAGATGTTAGAGTACAAATATTGGCAGCTGACATCACTGACTGAAGGCAAGAAGAAGCAAGAGCTAAAGCTGTGAAGATAAAACAGCTCAAGGTAAATTTCTGAACAGGACAAGACTTGCCCAGGTGTTAATAAGACACCCATGGCCCAAACAAAATCCCCAAAAAGACGACATATATTTAAGGTCACTTCCACTTCGACAAAGAGATTCAAAAGATCTCAATATCACAGGGAAAAGCTAAATTAGGCCAACCTTCGAAATCAAAAATGACTAAAACCGGTAGATTCAGTGCATTTGCCTGTCATGATGCTAAAAATAACAGCTAGCATATATTGGGCCTGGTCTCCTCGTGTGAGGCCTGGGCACCGCTTTGATGGGAGACCTGATATTCCCATCAGGTGCTACAGTGGGGCGGCTGTAGACTCGTCGGTTTGTCCTTGGGCAAGGCACTTCACCCACTTTGCATTGTGTGAATGTTGTGCGTGTGTGAATGGCAGGCGGTGGTAGGAGGGCCTCTTTGGCAGCCTCACTTGCAGCAGATTGCCCCAGGGCAGCTGTGGATAATAGTTCACCACCAGCCGTGGGCAGACCTGGAGCAGTGAGGAGATGCTGTGCAACAGGCTTATGGAGTTAAAACTGTTCACAGTATACATTGATGTTAATGGCAGCATCTTCAAACCATTTCCATTATTAAAAGCCTGACACTGTTTGACTCACGTCTCAAAGAGCAATATTCCGCATCATGTAGTGAATTGTGTTCTTTGGTTCCGACCTGATCCTCAGCGTCGGTTTGTCCCATGGTTATTATAGATCCATGGTTTATCCACAATGCTGAACAGGATCGTTATTATAATAGATCCATGTGTGGGACAGGGTTATTATCATAGATCCATGTGTGGGACAGGGTTATTATCATAGATCCATGTGTGGGACAGGGCACGGAGCGCACAGTCTCCTTCGGCTTTCTCCTCACGCATTCTCCGACGCTGTTCCAATATTTAAAACAACGTGTTTCGCCTGTGTCATATGAGCTCTCGCTGTCCAATAGGAGCGCCGATCGTCACACGTGTCATTATGTTTATATAAAAAAGTTCACTTGCAAAAAGGACAGTCTGAATACGAACCGGAGCAAAAGAAAAAAGTTTGGTCCGCTTTTGATTCGGATCAAGCAAGCGGAGCAAAGGACTTTTCAGGTCTGAATACACCCTAAGAGTAGGATTTATTCAGAAATTGGTTCTTGTTTATGCTAGACGCGTTATCTGACTAAGATTTGATTCGTTGCAGTCGATTTTTGCAAGAATAGGTGGAGGTTACTGCGACACTTATATGAAGAGAAGGAAAGAGGTGTAGAGGAGTGGCTCTGCTGCAGGGCAGGGGACAAAATGGAGGTACAGCAGTGCCCTGGCCTTCCTGGCTCTTGTTGGAGAAGAGACTTCTGCACGGCTTGAAGGTTTGTACTGGGTTGAAATGGGGGCATCTGACTATATGAAATTATATGACGTCATTCGATGCAATGGTCATATCTGCAATGTTTACTAAATGACTATGCATTTACAGCAAACATGAGGGTGACATCTCCCGAGCCGGGGACGTCATTCACAAGTGGCCGCAGAGTCCTGTTGCTGCCTCTGCCTGCCACTCAAGGCTAGCCCTCCGGAAACACCTCCAGGTGAGCATCACAAACCATTTACTTGGTTACCTACTTCATGTCTGCGACCAGTTATAGCTCTTGTGCAGAGTATGTTATTTTTAAACATGTATTTTCTCCTGTTCAACAGGCCCACAAACGGAAGAGGACCAGGAAAGCCGATCCTCCGGTTATGAGCGAGAGCTGCTCTCCGCTCTCCAGCAGAACTGTCTGTCCTCATCTCAGAGGATGTCGGCGGAAGAAATCTTTGCGGCTAGTGTGGACCCTCTCTTGAAGAAATTGAAGCCCCATGAAAGAGACAGAGCCAAACATAAAATGTACAACACACTCTTTGAGTCCTTGGAAAACAAAGAGAATTCGCAACCATCGTATGACCAGGGATAGCCATTTGACCCAACTTTATGAGAGGGAGAGTGTGCTCCAGATTATATATATGGAAATAATAAAAGTTTTGTGTGAATCTTTTGTGTCTGTTTAAATACATTACTTAGGTTCTTTTTCATCTTGTCATTAAGAGGCGTAGTCGTAAAAGTTCCATGCATTACAGAATAAATGAGTAGATAGAAGATAATTTGTACTTCTTTGCCCCCTCCTTTACAGCTGATGTGACCATCTCCTCTCGCGACTTTTTTATAGTAAGAGAGAGGCAAATTGTTACAGATTGGTAGCCAGTACGAGGACCGTGGAGTTTCTGTATATCAACAACGTTTGTGTCAAACTTTTACGCAGGGGTTATGCGCACCACATTCCGCGCACACACATGCATAAACTCCATTCTTACAACACTCCCCTCGCTCCCCTAAGCCCCTCACGCAATAAGCCTCATTTACACTCCCAAAATATGGCAGACCCAGTCCAAAATATACTGGATGAGGATGGTGGAGTGGAGAATGCATTCTACATGTTCCATAATTCTGCTTCTGTCTGTTCTAGATATTACTCTCTTCATATTTACAAAGATTTCACGACCATCACAATGTGAGAATTACAATACTTTTATGTAAAAAAAACAGTCACAGTCTTGTGACATCTGTATACTTAATAATATACAATATAGCATTTCAATAACAAACATCTCATGACAAACATGAACAATATCTACATTCACATGATCCCCAAAAGGGAATAAATTAAATCTATACAGTCATCTCCATCTAAATATGTTGAACTGTGACTTTTTGAGCCACGTTTTGTGCCTCACACTTTAGACAGAGGGTCAGAGAAGCTGGTAGTTACAGGAACTGACACAGAATCTACAGACAATGTACAGAGAATGGACTTTTAACAACTGTAAATAATAAATACAACTAAACAGTCTTCAAATATACCCATTGTCGATAGTTATACAGTGTGGAGTTCGAACGTTTATCACTGGAGTGTGATTTGATCTGACAGACATGACGCACTCAGTCCAGTCCGGCTGGCTCATTCACGCAGACGCCACAGATAAATAGTGAGAAACTAAAGTCCCATCAGCAGGTGCAAATCTGACAACTGGACATTAATGTTGTGGTTTTGGAGAAGATGAAGAGTAAAGACCAAATGTACAGTAGTGAAATGGTAAAATGTTGGCAATACAGCACAGATAGACAAGTGATAGTAGCTTCCAAAAGGGTTGGCTGTTTGGTCATGAAGAGAAAGTGCTTGTATCACGGTTTGATGTCCGCAAAGCCGGCGTAGGTCTCGCTGCAGCTGGACGACGAGCTCAGGTTTCCGGAGCCACTGCCTTCTGCAACAAATGAGCATAGTTTTACCACTCGCACAAATTATATAACTTTACACTGTGTATATATATATATATATATATATATATATATATATTTGAAGCATTTAGAGCTTTAGGGTTAGGGTTAGGGTTAAGCATAGCAGCGACTTATATCGTATATTTTGTATGCTCCCTGTGTGCTCTTACTGCTGTTCTTTTATGAGCGTCTGCAACTTTGAAATTTCGCCACTGTGGGACGAATACATTTTCTCTAATCTTATCTTTGGTCATCCTTTAGTTAGGGGATATCAAACTCATTTTGGTTGGAAGTCAAATTTAAAAACATAAAAAAGTATATTTTTCTTTTATTATAATTTGTTATAACATATTTTTATATATTAACAAATTAACTCTATTTAACATGAGTTTGGATATTATTTTCCAGTAGGTTTGGATTCAGCCACAACTGGGCCAAATATCAAATAGGGATCTATTTGAATAATACAATAATTATTAAAAAAAAACAAATAACTAAGACTTCTAATTACATTTATGTTAACCTTTTAGAATCAATCATATGGTTGTTTTCCTGAGATAATAGCCTTTAAAATGAAGTACAACATGCCATAGTATTCCATTACCATCAACGCTACAAGTTACTATGATAAAGACCATTTAAAATCATCTTAGGGGCAGATTTGAGTTTACCTGAGCTGTTGAGGGACTGACACGACTTGGACTTTTTCACCAGTGAAATAAGATTGGAAGCAGCGATCCAACCCTCTTTTGACGTGCTAAGGTTGCGGACAAACCTGCAGAAAATAAAATAAGGAAATGTTACGAGGATTAACAACTACCGGAAAGAACAGCAGTTCATAGTTTGATATTGATGACCTGGGTTTTCACATTTGATCGGCCGATGGCCATTTATTGTTATTGTTTTTATTTTGATAGGCCACAAATAGAGGAGGAGCTAACTGCACTCATTAGCTAGTTTTGTTTAAAATAAGAGCTGGAGTGAAATGTGAACACAAAGATATCCAGTATTTTATTTGTGGAAAGTTTGCTTTAACAGCTCTATTGTGCATCTGTGTAATTTGTGTATTTAATTAATTACATTATGGAGGCATTTTGAACAAATGCCAAAAAGGCCGAATGGGAAGAAATAAAAGTGAGCCTCAGACGGGGCTTTTCTGTGTGGAGTTTGCATGTTATCCCTGTGTCTCTGTAGGTTTCCTCCAGGTGCTCTGGTAATTAGTGAGTGAATGGATGGTGATGATCAGAGGCTTTGAAGCGCCAGTGTGTGGAGAGAATAGAAAATATATTGGTACTTAAAGAAACATTGTAAAGTGCTTTAGTTGGGTGACTTTTGTCTGTGAAAATCGCTATATCAATAAAGATTACTTTTTATTTACCTAATTACTGCCAGTTACTTTTCAAATTGAGAAACATTTTTTGAACGCAAGCAGCAGTTAAGACCCGCCTCCACAGCGCGCTGATTGGACGCCAAGAATTCAAAACTTTGATAGACAGCTGAGGCTCCTCCCTGTTGGTTTCTCCTCCAGCAAGTAATACCAGAGATGCATATTCTAAAGGGAGAGACTGTTTTAAATATAATCACTATGAAAAATACTTAATATAGTCAACTACAGGGTCAATTAGTCACAAATATCTATCATTCACAGATATATCCCATATAGATCAAAATATTGGTCGATCTCTACTTGTAATACTCATGGTTGTCATTTTTTAGTTCCTGTTTTATTTTGTATAATGTGTTCTCCTGTGTCTTTTTGAGTTTTACTTCCTGTTCTCTTACCTGTTCTGCCCTGATGTTACACCTGTGTTTCCCAATTAAATTCCCTATGCTCTTTCCCTCTTGTTGTCCTTCCATTGAGTGTTTGTTCTGTGGTTTTGTTTTTGGATTATTATTTTCTGCAGTATTGAATTTTGGGTCCTTCCTCCTTTTGTAGGTACGTGACAGTAATCATACAATTCAGGATGAAAAAGTATTGGTACCACTGATTGTTTTCGCCCTCTCGGACTAACTGGACCATGTCTCCACTCTTCACAGACACGTCTTCAGAGCCTTCCCCTTCGATGTCAATATTCACCATGTATTTTCCAACACACTGCAGACAGCATGAAAAATACATGTTGGTGATTGTTTCTGATATTATGGCCTTTACTTTTACAAACACAATCTACCAGTTTCTTGTCTGCGTCCTCCTCATTGTCTGAGTTCAGTGGATCCTCAGCGCTCGAGTAGCCGTCGTGTTCCTCGGAGGCGCTCAGGGACATAGAGGCCTTGCTCCATCCTGAAAGATATCAAAACAATTGTAAATGATTCCAGTTTGACCTCTGCGTTTACCTTCACGGCCTGTGAAAGCACATTGGAGAAGCATCTATGAGTAGGCCTGTCACCATCATCACGGTATCGACCATTCCTTCAATAAATGATGAATAAAACAAGATATTTTGGGCTTCAATAGTTATCATCTGTACACTTTCTTTGCAATAGTTTTAGCTGAAGAAGTGGGTTTGATAAGTCTGAATATTACTTAAAGACAATGTATGTAATATGCACAATTATTGGTCTAATAAAGTATGTGTAATAATATAAATATATACGATCACACTTTTGTTACCCTGATAACAGACGCAATCCACCTGCTGGGGTTTAGCTAGAAACGGTACAAGTGTGTATTACGTATGACTACTTTTTTTTGTATGTTTCATTCATTTAAACAAATGCGCTGCTAAAAAAATTAGCTGAAAATATTTAGCTGGTCTTAGCTCTAGCAAACTGGCGATCCAAATGAAAGCCTATGTTCTGCTTTCTGGTTGTATTTTTAATTAAACTAAAAAAACGAATAAAAGGTTGAACATGATTTGTACGTGCCCTAACCCTGTTATCTGCGGACACAAATAACAGATCTAGATATTATTTCATAAGATGACATTCCTCTTATTCTCCTGCTTTTTTTCTTCACTTTTTAGATGAATTAAAATGTATCGGACTAAGTTGCATGAAGAACATTCAATATTATTATCATAATGGATTTTGTTATTTTACTTGGTTATTTTAATCTGTGGTGTTAGTTTAGTTGTACTTCCTGTTCCAGGGTTTATTTTCTGCCCTGAAGTGTTTCACCAGCGTCCCTCTGTGCCTGTATGTACCTGTGTCTCTCTGTGCTTGTATGTACCTGTGTCTCTCTGTGCTTGTATGTACCTGTGTCTCTCTGTGCTTGTATGTACCTGTGTCTCTCTGTGCTTGTATGTACCTGTGTCTCTCTGTGCTTGTATGTACCTGTGTCTCTCTGTGCTTGTATGTACCTGTGTCTCTCTGTGCTTGTATGTACCTGTGTCTCTCTGTGCTTGTATGTACCTATGTCTCTCTGTGCCTGTATGTACCTGTGTCTCTCTGTGCCTGTATGTACCGGTGTCCCTCTGTGCCTGTATGTACCTGTGTCTCTCTGTGCCTGTATGTACCTGTGTCTCTCTGTGCCTGTATGTACCGGTGTCCCTCTGTGCCTGTATGTACCTGTGTCTCTCTGTGCCTGTATGTACCTGTGTCTCTCTGTGCCTGTATGTACCTGTGTCTCTCTGTGCTTGTATGTACCTGTGTCTCTCTGTGCTTGTATGTACCTGTGTCTCTCTGTGCTTGTATGTACCTATGTCTCTCTGTGCCTGTATGTACCTGTGTCTCTCTGTGCCTGTATGTACCTGTGTCCCTCTGTGCCTGTATGTACCTGTGTCTCTCTGTGCCTGTATGTACCTGTGTCTCTCTGTGCCTGTATGTACCTGTGTCTCTCTGTGCCTGTATGTACCTGTGTCTCTCTGTGCCTGTATGTACCTGTGTCTCTCTGTGCCTGTATGTACCTGTGTCTCTCTGTGCCTGTATGTACCTGTGTCCCTCTGTGCCTGTATGTACCTGTGTCTCTCTGTGCCTGTATGTACCTGTGCTCCTCTCCCTTTGTTTGAGTTTGTTTTTTCATCTTGGACTTTTATTCAATCAATCTTTTTTTCTTAAAAAAAAAAATCAATCAGTCATCATTATCATCCTTAAATCATTGCAATTCAGTAATTTATTGCAGTAATTTACGGCAGCATTTTATCATCTGTAAAAATAAGTTATTGTGATTGGTGACAGGCCTATCCATCAGGAAGGAGGGGAAAAGACAGGTTATGTTAAGGCAAGAAAAGAGCTGCTTCCCAACCACCATCACAAACAGAAGATGAAGAAAAAGAGCTCCATACGATCGATATCTGAGCCACTGTGCCCGAGAAGCAGGAATGTGTGACGTGTGATAAAGTGAAGAAAGAGGCTCCTTATGTGTGAGAAAGTGTTTGCTTCTACTCTGACTGTACCTCTCCACTTAGTGTGAAGGACACTAGTGGTGCTGAACCACCTAATTCTGCTCAGGTGAGGGTTTGGGGGACCAGCATCTGAAGCACATAAAGCAAACAGCCGGTCATCACCCACAGCGATACGGCCACTGTGGGCACTGAACGGCAGTCGAGGCAGTTTTAACTCGAAACCAAAAATAACTATCACACACACCCACTAACACAAAAAACACTGTCCTCACACTGTTACAACCAACAATAACAAAACTTCTGTGATAATATCCAGCAATAACAGTGACACACACACACACACACACACACAAAAATGTATTAAATCCGTATTTGTCACTTTTGTCTTGATGCTTCCAGTAAAGATAAAAGAAAAAAAAGAATACTTTTTAAAGAAATAACCTTGTTTGTTACCTTTGAAACCAAACGGTGTGGGATCACTCTGCCGTTTCGACTTGTGGTCAGGGCTCGATGGAGAGTCTACGAATGAGAATGACCGTGAGAAAATATGGACAGTACAACAGGAATCTTAAACAAAAGACTAAAAGCGTATGGAATGTAAAGTATCTGTATAATCTAACACTTAAAGCTGTGGTACCAAACTCTAAAACCACTGTATTACACAAAAAATGTCAATCTCTCAATCAATAGTTTGCAAGCGCATGTGTTTGTAGCCTCTCTTGCATCTTAGGATTCACTTTTTCATACAGAAAAGTCAAAAAGAGATGACCACCCTCACTCAGCCAATCAGCTCACAGCCCAAAGCGTCAAATAGCGCCTCACAGGGCTCTTCCTTACAAGTATGCATAAAAGAAACAACAAGTTATCTATGACACATAATAGTTAGGTACCCCAGCTTTAAACAGACACAGAGCACACAGGGCCTGACATAGTAATACCTGGAGGTGGTAGGATCATCAATGGTAATGTAAAACTTTTATCATCTGTAGCTGAGAAGTCTGTGAAGGAAGCATGCAGTGTTTGATCGTCTATTTAACAAAACTGCCTTGACAATTGTATATAATCAAACTATAATGAATGAAGGTTGCTGTTTTTGGATGGTAGAAAGTGTTACCTTTCGGGGCTTTGAGGTTACTAAAGCCCTGTAATGTAAAGCGTTTTTTAGCAACAGCCGCTCTGTCTGAGATTGGGCATATGAGAGAGTCTTCTGAGTAAGAGGAGAGACAGAGGGAAAGACAGACATAATGACAGGACCGTGAGTTTACACAGAAGACAAAGTGACACATCCATATTTGATTTTAAGCAAACCTTTTCTGCCTGGTTTTGGTGAAGAGTTTATGTCGGGGCTGCCTGGTTCTGCTCTCCTCTCCTCTCCCTTCTTCATAGACCTCTGTGCCGTCCTAAAAGGGCTGTGAAATAACAGCATTGAGAGTGATTTTGTAGGCTCAATAATAATTCATTCATTTTAAGTTCATTGGTCAATAATATTCAGAGGTAGCAGAAAGTAAAAGATGAAAGTTGCGGTCTGATTCGTTCACATTTCCTTTTTTGAAAGACTTTTTCTGTCTGGACAAGCAAACATTATTATTTATGAAAAATACAAGTTTTTGTTAAATAATACAAATATTTCATATGGCACAGAATATGTAGAATAAGAAAAAAGTAGAATCATTCATTATTATATGTGTTATTATTTTTTTTAATTTTAAGGCAACAAAGTAGGAAAGGCTGTCGCAATTGTGCTGTCACGATACATAATTTCAAACTCAATTTTGATAATAGAAAAACATATCAATATACCAATTTCAATACCACAGCAACGGTAATTTGTACCCCTAAATAATAATACATTTTATAAAGTCAAAAGGTTTTATACAAGTTTGTCTGGTATAGTTTAATATCAAGAAAAAATTAAGAAATGTCCTATGTATGTATATATTTTTACAATTTTTAATTATTATTATTATTATTAATTATTTTAACAGTGGAACAAACCTCAGGCTCACAACTCCTCCTGTTACTGGAGGAAACTGGAAAATGTTCTCTGGCGCCCTCTGCTGGCTGGCTTCTGCAAGCATTAAACCAAACACAATAGTTCAAAAGATTGTTTGGTTAAAATCGATCAAGAAAGCAAGAAAAATCCTCATTACCTCTGCACGCCTCAAGCTGCGTCGTCAAAACCTTTCTGATCTCGTTCACCCAAACAGTCTTCACTTCAGCGCTGGGAGCCTAACATCAAGCAACATTCAATAAACAAACTTACTTTTTGAGAAATGACTTTAGTTATGCAAGAATTACCTGCACAATATAGACCTCTTCTCTAAAGTTGGACCAGATTTCAAACTTTTTGTTGTCCCCTTTGGCATTTTCAGTGAAGCCAATTGCGCTCATCTATCAGTGGGAGATTAGAAAAGTGTAAAACAAAATTTATAGAGATGAATACAAAATGTTGGGACAAGAGGCGTACGCTGAGTGACTGTTTGAAGCTGTAGGACGGGGCTTTCTCGTAGCCCTCGCCGTTCTCCTCTCTCCGTTTGCAGAACAGCAGGGCTTTCTCGTGGAGGAACAGGTGTCTCTGCATGGGTTTGAACCGCGCCAGGTCTTTCACTTTGGCGTGGCCTTTCTTATGCTCTGTCCACACGCTGAAGGAACCTTGCATCAGGAGTTTCCCCAGCTCAGTCAGATTTCCCTTCAAACATCAAATCAGAGCTATTCATCAAAGGGGGTGAATTTTTTGCCATCACTATCACTATATGAACAATCCACAGCAAATATAATGTAACGCAATAGCTACAATTCATATTTTGTGAAAAATGAAGGCCAAACCACTACAAATCTTGGACTGGACCAGGACCAGGAATAAACAAGGACTTAGTCAGAATTAAAAACTTTAACATTCACTCCTTGAAGAAAGCAAAGAGATATTTTCTTTTTTGGATTTAGGAAGCACAGATAATGCAAATACTTTTAAGAAATGTTTAACCCCTATTTTATTATAATCATAAGCCTTTACCAAATGCTTGAGATGCAGCTAGTTTGATGGTAAAAGTGCCTAAAACCAAGTGAGATGTCCTCAAAGAAGAATCAAGCTTAAAGTAGATATATTGACTCAAAAGGTGATCTATCAAATTGTTGAGAAAACCATTAAAGGGCTAAACCAGGAAACAACTTTGAACACAAGAAATTTCCAAAAAAGGATTAATAAAATTGTTGGAATATTAGGTAAAAATAATCTTGTATTAATGGGACTGTATTTATTGTTATGCACTATTAGTGGTTGAATACAGTTACAATCTTCAGTTTTAATGCCAGAATCTTATTGCATATGTCAAGGCAAGGAAAAGCAAGTTTATTTGTATAGCACAATTCATACACAAGGCAATTCAAAGTGCTGAACAAAACAAGATAGCATTAAATAAATAATCACAGTACATTAAAAATAAAGATAAAAATATAAAATATAACATCCCTCAGTTGTATACACAGCTAAACAGCACTGTCTTTAACACTAGGACCGCCGCGCTCTTAACATACCTTGCACCGCCCCCTGCGGTCAGTTGACCGCTATGTATTTTGCGCTGATACAGCCTTTTGCCAAATTGATTGTTCACTAAACCAGAACTTGATGTTGCAAAGGAATCGTGATCATAATGAAACTGTGTAAATTATTTGTCTAAATATGCTAAGTAATTGTAATTCTAGCCGAAATAAAAGACTAAGACGACACATTGTGCGTGTACTGATCCATCAAAATTACGATGACTTTTCAGGCTAGATTTATTTTGTAACTTTGCAAACACCTAAAAGGTTGCTCACTATATGTTATATTTGACTCAGTAACAATATGTAAATTCAAACAATATAAATTATAGTTTAGAAAAGCACGGGACCATAACGTCTTCGCGCTGCTATATGCGTCTACTTCTTACGTCATCTCCAGACTGTTTTCTCTTTCCAGCCGAAATCACCGTGGGAAATATTATCTAGATAATAATAATAGTATTCGTATTGACACAAGATCATCAGCTAGGCTACCATCGTCAATGTAAAATCTTCAATTTTACACGGGACACGTTAGAAAGACAAATATATGTATATATATATTTGTATTTATTTGAGACAAGCAGTGCTCTTTATGCTCAGAACAAAATTATAATCATTGCCTTGCAGTGCGCGCTGTGCAGAATAACACACAGTGTTATCTGGATGAAAAAAGAATTATATCCTTATTGATATATGAGGGCCGCCTCTGCCCCACAGTCCCTCTCCTCCTGCAGTGTCCGCGGGTGACGAGCACTCTGATCTGCACTCTGCCTTGATAGTTCATCTAATTGTTCTATTTTATTGCTATATTGTATTCTGCTGTATTGCCTTCTTGTATGTATAAATATAATAATGTAATTGATGATGAATGAAAAGGAAGAATGTAGCGACAGCGCGCACACAGACACCTGCGTATGGCTGTCATTACGCACGCTCATGTGCGTTATTGCTTCTGGACTTGTTACAACACTGCTGTCCGTGCCGTAAATGCACTGTGGGTTTACGTTCAGATTTAGAATATTATAGGTGTTCTCCCCGCTGTCACTTTCTACCTCAAAATGTGACATCTCACCTCCGTCAGACTGTTCTCATTCAATGTCTTGAAGCACTGTCAGGGCTTCATACCGTGTACTTGCAGCTCTATTCATTTTGTACTCCTCTCTCTCCCAAATAATAATAAAAAAGTCCCTTTAGAGTCTAATGACAACATATTGATACATTTTTATAAGGCGCGAAAAACCCCCGGGAAAGGTTACTATGACAACAGTCGCCCCTGCGCCATGTATCTCCATGGGGCAGCATAAAGGGCTGTGGTTTAGAAAAGTTAAAAATGCGTGTAAATCTTGTTTTCTTTACTTTTTCCAAAACCAAAACACACCAAAATATAAACAACAAGTACCTAGTAAAAGTCATAAAATTTCAACTTCTGGCGTTTTGTTTTGAATACACTAATTAGCATAATGAAAGGAGTGACGGTCAGTTGACCGCTAGGGGCGCTCCTAGTGTTAACCTGGTTTTAAACATTGTCAGAGAGGAGGCCTGTCTCACATCTTCAGGAAGACTGTTCCAGATTTTATCAGCATGAATCTGAAAAGCAGCCTCCCCATGTTTAGTTCTGACTCTGGGCACTAACAGGAGTCCAGTCCCTGTGCTCCTCTGAGTCCGGGCTGGTTCGTATGGGACTAACATGTCACTAATATATTTATGTCACATGTGAGCTACATGTCTAAGCACTGATTACAGAGAGGATTTACTATGGTATAAACTCATTTTTGTGCCAAATCCAAAACCAGTTTCACCTAACAAACTGGAATCGCCAATGCGAGCTTTATTCGGAAGTCTGATTGGATAACTTGCTTGAAAATTTTAACTTGACAAATATAGACTTTTTATATGTACTTGAACTTAGATAAAGACCACTGTATTCAATCATTTACAGCCTAATATTTGATTGAAAATAGTTTGATCTCACCTCGTATCCCGTAATAGCGATAAGGTGCATGGAGTCGTTTACAGCCTTGAGGATTCCCAAGATGGAGGTGAGAGCGTCCTGCAGGTCCTCCGTTCCCTCACGTCCCTTACTGTACTTCAGCATTTCCTGAAACCAAACACTTTTATATAACAATAATCCTTCATAACAATAGTAGCAGTACAATTAAAAGTGTATAAACAAGAACTACACCTTCAACAGAAGCTGATATTTGGTAATTCTTTGAACAGGTTTGAGCAGATAAGAATCCAAACCCAGTTTATGTTCCAACTTCCTCTGACACTCCTGGTGGAATTCAGAAGTTGATTAACAGGTAAATCTATCGTGATCCCAAATGCTCATGTGTTTTAAGTTCATAAGTGATGTTTACCTGGAAAAAGGCACAGTCGGAGCACTGCCGCCACAGACTTTCAGAGCGAGGCTTGTTGTGGCAGTACTTCTCATAGATCTGCAGGTCAGTCATCTGCGAGACACAGAAAAATAAAAAAGATTACGATTAAGAGATTCTTTATTGGTCCCGCAGTGGGCAAATTTCAGTGTTGCATCACAAGTTACAGAACAGTAGGAATGAGGACACCTGATAAAAGAATAATAACTCTATAATAAAATAACTTATAAATAACTTAATAATAACTACTTTTGCTTTTAACTGTGTACCCTTTGTAAGGCGGCCTTGAGTGCATTGAAAGGCGCTATATAAATGAAATGAATTATTATTGTAAATGTATTATTATAAAATAAAATCTCTAACTCTAGTATATAAAAAATAAAAAACAGCATAAAATCTCTATCTTGAGGACGAAGGTTTCAAGAGGTCTTTTGTTCCTTCGGCTGTCAGACTGGATGAGTTGGATGAGTCTTCTGCTGCTCGATCAATTAAGTATCTATCTATCTATCTAATGAAGAAGTAAGACTTAAGTACATCATCTCTGACTTAAGCGTAATAAAGAAGTATAATAAATGGGAAAAAATCAATCAATGGTAGTTTACTCACACGCTGAAGAAAACATCTTCCCACCAACTCTGGACAGTCAGTGTACAGCTCCAACTCTCTGAGGAAAGTTCTACAAAAATAAAAAATAAACATTGTATCAAATAAGGAATGAAGCTGACTCCACACCACTACACGTCATAGTATTATTAAAAAAAACAAAAAAACATTGACATTTATTATTGCGGTGAAGTACGGAACATTTATTGATGTAAAAATACATTGTAAAACTGATCAAATAAACAACAACAACTACTACTACTCAGAACTGCGGCAGATGGCGCCCATTCACCTCTTATGGAAGTGGTAGATTTCTGGCATGTTGCCGAACAAAATCTCCTTTTTATTCTGCAGAGGAGCAGGGATGAGGGGGGCCATTGCTGGGTTATCCATCTCTGAAGCATAGCCCTGTAATTAAAATAAATATATTCAAACACATGACGGTAAATCATTATTATATCACAATTTGTAGTTTAGTGATGAGCACCTGGAGAACACACAGCAGCTCTTCCACATAGGCTCTCTCCGTTTCAAGCAGCTCGTTCATCACATGTCTGTCAAAAAGGTAAACGATTAAATACGTCACATAGAATACAGTTTTCATGGCGGGGACTTGAACTGATTGAAGGTTTGGTTCTGGTTACCTGCGGAGCACAGCCAGGTTTTCCTCCTCCTCCGACACAGACGAATGTCGGCTCTTACTTTCTTCATTTAGCGACTGCCCATTTTCCTGAGTGAGATAAAGGGAAAGATTGTCAACACATCATTCACATCATCTTGTAGTGGGGATTTGTACTTATTTTCACCAACTTAAACCCAAAACAAATCAAAAAGCCGCTATAGGTGTTGTCAGGTCGGCTTTACACAGTGGAGAGAAATGAAATATCCAAACAAAAAGTGCATTTTAGGCCTTTTATTTGACCAAGCAAACTGCAAACATGCGTCGCCCTGTTTATCCCTGTGATCAAAGAAAACTAAAAAACTGAAATTCGTTTTGGATTGTATATTTATTTTATAATACCTAATATATGTATTTTAATTTATTTTATTCTTCTCCCTTCCGGTAAATAGATAAAATAAAAAAAATAAAAATATATATATATACATTATGGTGGACTACAATGTAAGTTTAACCACGTTTGAAAGCTGAGCAACTGCAATTCACTGTCTAAAGAAAAAGAATAAAAAAAAAAAATATATATAAAGAACTTAATTAGATCGTCAGAACACAAATCTAGAAAATGGACAAATAGCATCCTTTATTAAAGATCATTATACAAATATTAATAATATTGCATTGGTTTTATATAGCGCTTTTCAGGACACTCAAAGATGCTTCACATGTCATTATTCTTTCACTCCATACACAGAGGTGTTAAACTTCCACTATAGCCACAGCTGCCCTGGGGCACACTGACAAGAAGCGAGGCAACCAGTATGTGCCATCGACCACCACCACCTCTCCACACACAGACCTGACTCATTCTAGGCAATGTGTGTGAAAAGTCTTGGCTAAGGACACAACAACAGTTTGGCCCTTTAGAGCCACAGCCGCCCCACTGTGGCTCCTGGTAGAGCCCTGCACGGGCCTATTATCTGGGCCCGAGCCCGGCCCTGGCCCGAGGGGGTGGCGCCCCAGCCCGGCCCGGCCCGATATGGTTTCTGAATTTTCAGGCCCGAAACCCGCATCAAACCCGCCTTTTTTTTTTTTTTGTAACCTCCCATAACAATGTTTTAGCGTAGTATATAGTGCCGCGCACTGATATGAACGCAGACTTAGCTAGAGGGCGGAGTTATACATGGTAGTGATGTGTTGCAATGAGTTCTGTGTGTGCGGAGTGGTGCAGAGTGAACGGCCGCATCTGTATGATGCCCCCGATGCTGCAACACATCTGCACATTACATAAGTAATGCTATGTGCCGTCAATGACAACACTACACAGAACAACAAACACTACAGCGTGATAGAACGCTATATTCAGTGGGTGCGCTCGTAAATCTATTCTGCCGCTCTGAAAATGAAGAGCGCGAGCCCGGCCCGTGTCCGAGGTCATTATGCGGTCATCGGCCCGAAGCCCGGCCCTCGGGCTGTCGGGCCGTCGGGGCCCTCGGGCCAAGGGCTCAAGTGCAGGGCTCTAGCTCCTGGTGTTCCCAGAGGTCTCCCATCACAGTAATAAACAGACCTTGTCCTGCTTAGCTTCAGAAGTCTGACAGGATCCGGCTTTGAAATACTGGTAGGGCTACAAACCTGCATGTTATTATGATCATATTTGTGTATATGTATTTCTATGTATTTTTGTCGGTTTGCTTTTATTTTGTATCTCTCAGCCCTGTGAAGCTGGTGTTGTTGTAAATGTGCTATACAAATAAAGCTGACATTGACATTCCACAATAAATAATCCTCGTGGCCTCACCGTCTCATAGAGGATTGTCGAGCAGGAGTCCGGCTCTGAGATCTTCTCCTGCTGAGCTTTGTGAGCTGTGGCACAGATGGGTCACATGATGAGTCAGAATCAACATCTACGACATGTGCTTAACATTATTATTATTATTATTATTATTATAATAGAGTGGTATGCACCAGGAGAGGGGACAGGGGACTTGATGAAAGCCTCTGGTCTGGGGGCGACAGGCTGAACCGGTCTGGTCTGTTTGGTGGCCAGCTTCTTCAAACTGATCCTCCTCTTGTCAAACATCTCCAACATGGACGTCTGCTTCTGGAAGATCTTCTCCACTTGATCCTGCAGACAGAAGTGTGACGTTGTTAGAATTGCATAAAAAGAGTGAGTCCGACTCCAGAGGTGATAGTAAGTAAGTATACTTTCTTATTTACTGTACTAGATTTTCTTGGTACCTGAAATGTACAACTTATTCTCAGACAACTAATATCTGTGCTTTCTTCTCATCACATGTTAATATGTGTTAGTTACTCTGTCTGAAGATGACGAGATGTAAACAGGAGAAAGTGTGTTCAATCTAAGTACATTCAGTCATTGTGGTTAGCCATGCTTCTAAGATAATTCATTCATTGTGGTTCACCATGCTTATAATATTCACTCATTGTTGGTTTAACTACTCTCCTCCAGGAAATCTTACTGTAGGATGCCAAAGGGAGGGACTGTTCTAAATATATTATTGTTGATGAATATATTATTGTTGACCAGCAGGTGGCAGTGTGAGCGTGTGTCACAGAGTCGCTGCATTACCCTGAGCTGCGTGTTGAGGACAGCTTCATACTGGCTCCAGATGTCGCTGAGCTCTGACAGACGATTGTCCTCTGAACTGTCCAGATGCCCCTCCAGCTCCTTCAGGGCCAGCTCTGCGCCCTCCTGGGACTGACACTTGTCCACAGGCTGAGACGCCAGCAGGAAGATGCCCTCGTCGCACCATTTGGAGGCCTGCAAGAACACACACACACAACTAGTTTAATATTTTTTTATTTAGACAGACATTATCTTTTGTTATCTACATTCAGACTGAGTTTCAGACTGAGTTTCAGACTATCTTGTGCATGGCCATATACATTCATGTACGGTGGTATGCCATGCTTCTAAGTTCATTCATGTATGGTGGTTAGCCATGCTTCTAAGTTCATTCATGTTTTGTGATTAGCCATGCTTATAAGTTAAAGTGAATGTCAGTTAAATTTAAAAATTGTGAAGAGAAAGAAAAACTTTTTGAAGACCAGTTAGCCACGCCCTTGTTGACCCTCGCAGTCTCCTGATTGGTTGAAATTAATCATAATCCTTGTCATTGGTTAAACTATTTTCTTCCAGCAAATCTTAGTGGTTGCAATGATACCAAAGAGAGGGACTGTTTTAAATAAATTATTGTTGATACATACTTTACATAATAGCAGTGTCCCTTAGTCAAATATACCTTATTTGAATGTATTAAATGAAATGTATGTTGCTGATGTCATCTATAACAGTTTCAACACAACAGCATAAAAAGGACAATAATAAAAACAGTAAGTGTTTATAGAATGCTAAAACCAAATTGTTTCAAAATGTTTGAAAGATTTCAGTTTAAACATCTAATCGTCCTGTAATCTAGTATTCAGAGACATATGACATTCAGGCAGTTTTTCAAGTTTAGCTATATATCATTTTAATACAATGTTTATATTTTTTAGAAAATGGGAAGCTACATTTTTTGAGTTTTGAACCTGTCGCAAAGAGTCAAACACTATATTTAGTAGAAGCTGAATACAAATAATTTCCCCACCATCTAAAACAGAAAGAAAATTTGCATGATTAATATACTATCTAAAATTCTGTATTAGAATGTTATCATTGACCCAAACTATTGACAAATTCTGAAATATGTTTCTATATGGTGTCTTGTACGTATAGACCATAGACTGTTGTATAGACTCACCCTCTCCAGGTGGCGGTGCAGCTCCAGAGCTTTTAGAAGATGGTCTTTCTTGGCCTTTAAGTTGCTGGACACATCGTCGCCGGCTGACCGGAGCGTGGTGCATTTAGGTTGTATCGACTGCTCTGCATAGTGGGATTGTTTCACCAGCTCCTCTCCCTCACAGGCCAAAGAGGAAGCCCTGTCCAGCACCTCCTAGATAGGTATAGATCACAGCGCATCAATGAGTTTGTTTACAATACGTAGAAATAGGGGGACCGTAAGAATAAAACTCCATTTGGCATTGCTCTCAAACAGGTCTGACCACTCTAATCAAACTGTTGATGTCAGGACGTGATTCAGAATTTGACCAGTAACCAGAAAAAAGAAATGTAATGAATGTAGAGCCCACTAAGGCACAAACCATATCAAACAACAGTGTAATTGTTAGTACGGTCTGCATTCGGGGCGTTTAATTCACCAGGTTGTTCAGATAAGTCTTGTGATGCTTTCAACGTCGTCTCATTGTTTACCTTATGTTACGGACAAAGTCCTTTTGGTTTTGGTGTTTTGTTTCTCCTTGCCTCCACCTCTCAGACCCTCCCACCTCCAGCTGAGTGACGTCCCACTCACACCTGTGGGTAATCTGCTGGGAGGTATAAAGGGCCGGGATCGAGACCAGGCTGACTCTCTCTGCAACTTAGACCGTCCGTTGGACCTCACCTCTTTTGGAGCATTTTGTTTTGTGATTGAACAGTGGTTCTTTTGCACCTCTTTTAATAAACCTTTTACTTTTTGGACCTCCGCCTCCCGTCTCTGTTCCACACCCGGTTCTAATTTTGTTATTGAGCCACACTCCTAGACACCACCACCTTGTGGCTCGTAATACCTTAGCACCTAAATAGTAATGAAATGGCCATCATACAGGTGTAACTAAGGTAAATTAAAATATCGTTCTAAAGTCCATTAAAACAAAGTGAAACTAATACTTAGGGGTGTATTAAGTAAGGGAAATACTTTCTCCCGCGATTCGATTATCGATATACATTTGCCAAGTATCAATATCGATTTAAAAAAAAAAAAAAAAATTGAATGTATTTTTTTTTTTACACTTCTTTTTTTTGAATTGGTATCAATACTTAATATATGGCTACATTACGCATCTCCATTCTATTTATCATGAAATAAAGTGTATTTTTTCTTTTATTTATGCCATAAATTGGCATATTGTATATTTCTGACCAATATATCAATAATCGTCATATCGTGATAAAATTGTTATCGTGATATCGTTATTGTCATATTATCGTTATCGTGAGCTTTGTATCGAGTATCGTGAGGTACCCTTAGGTTCCCATCCCTACTAATACTGTATAGGACACAAAGTGAGATATACAGTATCAAGCGTTTATTTGTTATGAAGTTAATAATTATTAGTTTAGGGTTATATATGTATTTGTTTCAAATTAGAATTTTTGAAATATTTGCAGCCCAATAAAACGCATAACATTTTCCTGCTTTTGCGTCACAAAACAAAACGAGGATTTATGGCAATCGATGCGATGAGTGAATAGTCCATATGCGTCCTAATACATTCATTTCTAATCTAATAATGGATTTTCCCCTCGCCCTTAAATGCATTTTCTGGCCTTGTCTCAGTAGTATCCAGTGTACGTGGATAAATAGGGACAAAGTGGGACAAATAAAGGATCTTTCATCTTAAATGGTTTGATTAGATGATGCCAAATGGAGTTTATTTTCCCAATCATTGCGTCCGGGTGTAATGCATCTATCTATGTATCAATCTATTTCAATTCTATGCTATGTCAAATATCACATGCTTTTAAAAACGTACTCAATGTTACAGATGCTTTTTTAATCTGGTATTTATTAAATGTACAAATGTCATCTCTAAGCCCATTATATTACAGAAAAACATTCTATTCTCACCCTACACACTCCCAACAAAGCTCTAACCACGGCCACTTATCCGCTTATGTATATAGTGTATATAGGGTGATGCATAACCTGTATATTGTTTTTGTTGTTTGTTTTCTCTTCTTCACATATCTCTTATGTACTAGCTATGTGATTCTGAAGTTAAAGCTCTATATGAACGTATTTTGCTATAATGTACAAATGCAGTTCGCTGTTAAATCTACTTAGATCATTTACTATCACCATTACTTTTACAGAGGGCTAAAAATAAATTAACAGCAACAAGGACAAGACTTAAAAACACCATTGTGGCTGCTTGTTGTCACCATCACTGCTCCTCAACTATACAAAGGATAATGGCAGGTGAGACATGGACCTGTTGGAGAGAAGGGCTGCAGGGTTGGGCCGGTTGATTGGGGGCCATTCCCCCCTCCCAGCGGGCCCACACTCTACTTTTTAATGCACCTCACAGAATAGGGCTCACACTATCTCATAGTCCGCTGTAGATGGTGACAACGAAGTGAACGATTATTATTACTAAAATGGTATAAAGGAATAATTAATAATAATATAATAGTTAAAAATCTAAAATAGATTTACATAATTAATAAATCATATAATTATGGTTGTTAATATAATCCATCATTATTGTGACCATTAATAGCATTAAACCCATAACAAGTAACAAATGATCAAGTTAAAAGATTGGTGACTAGTTGTGTTGACAGTGATGGGTATTTGTAATTATTGAAGAAAAGGTTCAAGTTTTCTTTCATTGCCTTGGGATTAGTTGAATATTGTGATGTTTATATTGCTGTTTGTATAGTCACTGGAACATGACAAAATAACTGTCATATCTTTTTGATCATGCAGTAAATGAATGTATTGAATGTATCAAATTCTTCAGTACACAAGGGGTAGGTGCAAACAAGCTTAAGCTTCTGCCTACTCCTTTTGAGCATCATATCCACGCTATTTATTTATTTAATTATTTACGTATTTACTTACGCCTACCTATTTTTGGCTTTGATTACTGTGCTGAACTTTGTATATAAGTAGAACTGTGTGGAACTCAGATGCTCAAATAAAAAAGATGAATTGAATTGAATTGACTTACACAGACTCTCTTTTCGTAGGCGCTGAGTTCGCTGTTGATGTGGTCGGCGTGCGCAGGGCTGATCCCCACCTCCGAGAAGGACGCCAGCTTTTCCACCACCTGTTCCAGCAGAGAGCTCACCTAAAGCACAGACATCTTGGGTTAGTCGTAGGTTAAAGCAACGATATCAATTCAACTCGATTCAATGTATTTTTGTATAGCCCTAAATCACAACAGCAGTCGTCTCTGAGGACTTTACAAAGTTCAGAGAATCAAACAGATCAAACACAAGAAATGCAATATGAATGAACACATAGAAGCCATTGGTCTATAGCCAAATTCCCATAAATGTTAATAAATGTCCATAAATGTTCTTAAATGTCCCGGATCATCACAGTCCTTCCTTGATCGGCAAGGTACAACTCAAGTGGGGAAAAAGTGAGAAACCTCCGGGAGGCCCACATTGAGAGTGGAATCTGCTCCAAAGAACAAACAGGCTGAAGATCCAGGACTCAGGACTATTTCATATAGATATACATTTCTAAAGATTTACCTCCTGGTAGTTGTGCTCAAAGTGGCAAAGCTGCAGACACTGGTCCAGTTTGGTTTGGTGCCTCAGCCAGAACTCATCGAATGCCCTCTCTGTCTCATCCAGCTGGGAGAGCAGCCTGGGCATCGGAAAAGACTGGTTAGCACAAATCATTGGCAGGAGGAATCGGTTTTAGTATTGTGCAGTGGTGTGATGTAAAAAAGATAGGCATCTGTCATGTATCTGACAAACAGCGAGGGTGGGATGATACATTTACTTGTTACATATGACAGAAAATATCTCAACATTCAACAGTTTTAACAGTGAAAGTACTTTCCATTAAAAGTGTGTCTGAATTATCTGAGTTAAATTTTGAGCAGGTTTTGTCAAACGGTAGAGCTTCAAGCAAACCAGAAAAAAACATATATACAATTAATCAAGTATTAGAGGTATTATTCATCCACTCCATACACCGTGGCAGTAAACTAGTACTGTCGCCATAGCTGCCCTGGGGTAGACTGACCAACCACCACGATCCATTCTTTCACTCTCCAGATTCATATGAGGCAATGGGGTTGTTGCCCGTGGAGAATTGGGAGTAGTAGAAGCAGCAGTAGTAACAGATGTATTGTTTGATGTGAGTAATTTGTAAGTGTTATGAAGAACAATATGCAACGGGACAAAAATTTTCTGTACGGTAATAACTTTAGACAACAATTTATAATTAAAGCTGGGGTACCTAAGTTTTAAACCACAAAAAACAATGTAATACATTTGATATAAAATCTAACTCGCAAAACAGTTTGGTTCTGTCACTATTTTTCACATGCACTGTATATATTTTTGGCCTCTGACACATTTTTAGATCATCTTTTCTCTTGCTCTTACCCCGGAGCATCAAATAATGACTCATAGAGCTATAAAATAACACAAATAATCCATAATTATGATGAAGACAGCATGTAGTGGTCTGACTTGTCCACAACATTTTACTTTTACAATACCTTTTCTGTTGGCGATAACACAATCGAGTAATTATGAAACAAAAAGTTAGGTTCCACAGCTTTAAAGATTGATTAAAGCTTGGTTAAGGAAGCTTGCTGTTTCTTATAACATTTGAGATCCTGCGTGTGATGTCTCCAGCTCTCACCTTTGCACGGTGGCCAGGTTTTCCAGCTCGTCCTGGTTCATGTTGTGGTCTGGGTCCCGCACCACCGGCTCATTGATGCTCTCTAGAAGTTGGCTGCCTTGTCCTAAAGTCACAGACAGATCCTCCTACACAAACACACACACACACACACACACACACACACACGTTTATGAGTATCAAACAGGCAGGATTTCAGATCTCTACAGCTAGGATATGGAACGGTCTTCAAAGGTTGAAAACATCTGTTTATCTGTGCTTATACAACTGATTCTATTTGCGCTATTTATCACTTTTCAAACCCCTATCATTTTAATACGAGTTTTAAGCCCAATACTTCAGTGCCATTTTGTTTTTTTAATGCACATTTTGATCTGTGTTTTTGTATTGCTCTTGTGAAGCACTTTGAATTTCCTTGTACACGAATTGTGAAAGATAAGGTAAGATAAGATAACACCTTATTGGTCTCACAATGGAGAAATTTACATGTCACATTTGGCATAGATAGGATCACTCAGGGTGTGCAAAAAGACAGGAAATGTTCAAATACGATAGTATCTTTTGTGCAATAGAAGTATAAAAATGGTGAATGCTCCTACCTCCATTTTGCTTTTCTTGCTGGTGTGTGTGTTGAGTAGAGCGGTCGTGGCCTGGATTTCGTTGGGGAGCACGGTTTCGGCCAGTTCCATTCCAAAGGACTGAAGCGCCTGTGCCATCTTCTTCACCATCAAAGCAAAGCCCTCGATCGCCTGGAGCAGACACAAGCATAAACACGTATCCTCCATGATCCACGCTGACTAAACGTGTGTGTGTTTTATAGGTGCATACGGTGCGATGGGAGATCCACTTCTCATGGCAGTAGGCCTGTGTCCCCCCGAGCTCCAGGGTGAGCTGAGAGCGGTCGATGTAGGAGTGAAGCTCGGTCAGAGAGCTCAGCATGATCACCTGAACACAGCACATATGGGAGAAACATCATTCATTTGGATTCTTACGTACAGTTTACATCCCCCGTTATATTGTTTGGTCATGTTTCAGAGATCCTTGAGATAAGATAAGAAAAATATTGATTCTCTCTCTCCACCCATCGCTGGTGGTAGAAACATGTTTATTATACACACTCAAAATAAACTAGCTTTCTATTTCTATTTTATAATCTGTGGAGAGGTCATATGTGCAATTCGAGCAAGAAGAATGGACAGATTAGAGAGAGGGATAAAGACTCCAAGCTGTCATGCAAGATTCAAGATTCAGTTTTTTTGCCATTTGCAGGAAAAGCACATTGGAATAACGGTGCAAGAGAACCCCGGTGTGCACCAGAACAAGCAGATAGTACACACCAGAGCTCTTGCCACGTCTGGCATGTTAAAGGGGCAGTATATGTTATTAAGAACTGAGGGAAACTTCAAAAGGAGAACTTGTTTCTGTTGTCTTTATCATTTGAAAATAGGAAACATGTTTCTTTGACAAAGTTTGCCTCATACCGTCATGCTGCTAACAAGTACAGAAGTATACATACAACAGTACATTTCATGCACTAGAATAAAAAGTTTTTTAAACTTGCTTTTTTATTATGCTAAAGCTAGAGATTTCCTTTTATATTATGTAACTAGTGACCTCACACTACCACTAACAATGAGCGGAATCAACTATGGCCAACAGGTGTAAACTTTCAAGCTGTATATTGAGTGGTCAAAAATAAAGAAAATCATTTACCGGCACTTTCATTTTGAACTCATCTTTGTTCATCTTGAAGAGGATGTCTGACAGAGTGCGCTGCAGCAGCGTGGTGGGCCTCAGAACCAGGACGAGCTGCAGGTTCCCCGGGAAGGCGCCCTGAACACAGACAAACACATCGACTTGAGTGGATCACTACATTCACAATCCAGGACAGAATGTGACCAATATTTATTGTATTTTAGCTTTTGTATTGTATTTATTTAATAAAAATAAAAATAAACTAAATGTGTTTGTTTTGCAGACCATTAGCACCGTTATTGTTCTGAATGTACTTAATTTAGTCTTCTAGAGAAATACATGTTAATGCATTCTTAATTAAATAATAGCTACTTTGCATAATGTGCTAAATGTTTAATGTATTTTAATTCTACAGTTTAAAAAACAACTGGGATTAAAGACTAATGCTAGAACAACAACGGCGGTAATGAATAATGTAGTAACTATAATTACTGAACTAAACTAGATATTTTTCATTATGGATAATAAGATAATGGACATGTTCTGAAGGCAGATAAACACATATGTCAATATTGTGCAAAGCAGAGTTTTCTTTAATCTGCGGCCGCTGGTCACAGTCATGGTCGACTTATTTCCTGTTCTTTCTTCTTCATCAGATTTACTCCAAACCAAAACTTTTTGCTGTTAAGTGTGCGTAGCAACAAGATGATAGATATGTTTAAAAAAACTATTCAGATTCGGAACCAAATAAACATACAGACCCATCGCTCACACAAAGGGGACCACCTTGTCTCAGAGAGCTGAGCCGGTTCACTACAAAGCCATTCTAAATGTACAGAGAGCCAACTTTCATCTCTGTCCGTTTAGCAGCTCGGCTGAACCACCCACCATCGCTACAGACAAGATGGACTGCATCAGGATTTACTTGTGGAATTAATAACACTGGATTCCATTTTAAATTTTTTTTTTTTTTTACCATAGCAGCTTTGAACAATCACTACATGATCTATTATTTGCATCTGAAATCTCCCCACTATACTTAATTAAGATTAAGAGATGCATTATCCGTCCCACAGCGGGGAACTTTCAGTGTTGCATCACCAGTTACAGAACAGTGGGAATGAGGAGCACACAGCACAAGATACATGAACAGTAACTCTAAACTAAAATAAAGAGTTACTGTTAATTTACCTTGTGTTGTGTGTGAATAAAGGATTTCTTAATTTTAATCATCAACCCAGAGATATGAGTAAATATAATAACATTTAATATTTGTTTTGCATTTACAATACAAGAGAATAAACATGGACATTTTCTCATGAGCACGATCCTCCATGACATAAACCCTGCAGTGTCTTTGCACTGTCTGGACACATGCTGAGCTTTACAGTTATGGGATGAAGAATAAGCTTACAGTGTTTCACATAAACAACTCCAGCTGTTGCCACGTGAACCTCACATCTGTTCTTTACAGCAAGAATGATACATGTGCTAAGCCTAGTGTATAGTACAAAAAGGATACATGCACTGCAAAAAGGGATGAAAAGCAAGTCAAGAATTGCTCAAATTCGGCTAAATGTATTGTCATTTGAGCACATTTTGACTGCCTTAAAACAAGATTTGGCAATGGGACAAGCAAAATCATCTTGTTTTAAAAAGATACCAGAAATGTCTCCCTTCAAATGAGAAAATATGAGAAAATAAAGCAGCAATTCTTGAAATTAGACTGAATGGCTTTGTCTCATTGATAAATCTTGCTTGAAGTTAGAATGTACTCAAATTAAGCGATTATTACCTCATAATTGATCATTTTTAGCAGTATGTCCAAAGCCTGGTGTATAGTACACAGACAGAATGACATAAAAGGTAGATATGAGGTGAAACTTACAGCTATCCGGAGCAGCGTCCCCTTGACAGCTGCCCATCGGTCTTGTCTCCGATCAATGACAAGAATGAACCCCACTTCTGTTGGCGACAAGCTGCAACACACACACACACACACACAAAGCATTTAAAACAAACAATATGCAGTATTTCTACACCTCAATAAATCCCTGGGTCAGAGGAGTCACTGCCAAGCTTTTGTCCAAGGCTTCTTTATCTCGCAGCTGCAGCAGCACGCGGAAGGATTCACAGCAAAATAATCGCCCCAGTTTTAATTAGAAATGATTGCAAATGATTGAAAAAAAAATGCACCTTAAAAGAAATATTCTGAAAATCCTCTTCCCGAGTGACTATAGTCAGCCTCAAACAAAATCCCTTGTTCACATGAAATCTGAAGCATGCTTTCGGATGGAGCAGGAAGACCCTCAAAACAGACACTGCCCCCTCTCCCTCCCCCCCCTCTCTCATCATCAGCAGCAGCTTATAACATGGGCCTATTGCACACTGCTGTAGAGTGATGAGCAGCTCCAGGATCCAGTCAGAGTGTGTGGGGGAGGGGCAGTGCTTAAAAGGGTCTCGTTGGGGTAAATATAAAACAAACACGTGCACTCACACATAGAGACGCACACACGTACACAGACGCACACACGCACACACACAATATTATAATTAAATACGGTTTGCAGTAAAACAAAAACAACATGGATAATAGTAATAATATTAATAATAGAGCTTCAACCTTCAATTATTTAGATACATGAATAATCTACTGTAGTGATTATTTCTTTCATTGTTTGAACAATTAGTTGTTTATAATGCGGGTGTACGACATTTCATCCAAATTTGGGGGAAGGAGGACAATCTAACAGATAATATTTTCAGACAACACTGTTTTATAATTATGTCTTATTATATATTTAAGGAAATATTTAAATATATCATGTGACATTTTTTGCTTCTTCAGATCCCTGGTCTCAGATGTTGGACACTGGCTCCTTGCTGCAGGCTACATTTGCCCTGTTCGAGTGCCAGTCCCTCAGGTAGCTTAGCCATCTGTTGTCACGGCAGCCATGAGTCTATTTTAGTGAATGACCTTAAATCCTTATGCATTAAGATAAGAGAAGCTGAAATAAACATATTTGACAAAAAAAAATGTCACATTGGACAAAGTGCACGGACAAGTATGTTCAAGTATACATACAGCAGGTGCTTATATGTAAGCTGCTGCCCCCTGCTGGCGGCATGTGGTCTGGTTTTATTCCCTCGTCTGTCTACTCTACATGACTGATGGCACACTGCAGTGCGCCGCGCTGCCCTGGGCTGTAGGCCAGAGCACGGACAGACAGAGGCGGTTCCACACTCGCACACATTTACCTGGGAACGCTGGTCAGGTAACTGAGCACATTGTGGAACTCTCTGTCTGTTATTTCTCCAAACGAGGGAAACTCTGGAAACACAATGATGGGGCTGCCATTGTCACCTCTGCCACCTGGAAAAGAAGGAACTGTTGTTATGTAATGTTTGTTTAATGCATTATACTTAGACAAGATGTCTACCAGGTCAATGTTTGACTTGATTGAGCTTCTGTTAGTTTGAGGCTAATTATGAATTTCCAAGTCTTTTATGCTTTTTTTCTGTTGAATCTAAATAAAATAGGTTTCTCAAGCAATTATACAGAAATTCAGGCTTTTGTGAGGCTAAGCACAGAGTGATACTGCCAAATATCAAAAGTTCAATATGAACATTGTATAGATGTATTTTTGACTCATTATGAAAGTAAATGATCTAAAATAACAATATATTACTACAGATCTGAAAGCAGAGGCAGTAGACAATACGTAGCGTTTTCATTTCCGTGTTTACTCAGTATGTTTGATACTGTACACATGCAATAAGCCTCTTTGTGAAACGGCTGTCGGCACCAGGGCCAGAATAGCAATCTCTCTTTCTCTGCGTGTTGCTATAGTAACAGCAAGTGCACAGTCATGCTTCAGCGTCTGCAAAATGGAGCCCAAACTCAGAGCGGCCCAAACTCAGAGCGGCCCCAGGTCAGCGGTGTCTGATGGAGGCAGATGGAGGCCGCCTCAGAGGAGAGCTTGGTATCACAGACACAGCAGCGGAGGTGACATGTTTCCACTGAGGGAGGATAGAAACACTAACGCTACTAAGACAAAACTATTGGACGTGTGTGACACTCACCTGAGAGGAAGGCAAATCTCCTCCTGAGGTCAGGGGTGATGTGAGCGGCCTGGAGTGGACTGTTGTCCAGTTGCATGATTTCATCTGAAAAACACAACGACGACACTTAACACTAGAACTCCCAGAGCAGTCATTTAAATCACTCAGCGTATGTACATTTTTGATCTTCATACTTCTTTATAGTCTATGGTTTCTTTAATAACACTGGACACTTAAAAGAGGTTAGGGTTAGGGAAGAGGTAAAAATCTGTGGGAATCTTGACATGTGAATAAAGATCCTTTTATGTACAGGGATGCAAGTTTTACATTATGAACTTGTTTATAAACTTGTGTTTATGATCTCAACGGACGCAGCAGACTTATTAAAGTTATCAATAATAGTTGCATGGATTTTAATGCAACTATTTTAATAATAGGGGGGCGACAGTAGCTCAGTTGGTAGAGCATTGGCCTTAAGGCCAGAAGGTCGTGGGTTCAATTTCCACCTCTGCACCTTCTCCACCGACTCCCACTGACGACTGCTGTCGTTGTGTCCTTGGGCAAGACACTTAACCCCACTTTGCCCAAAGCCCCCACTGAAAGATCAAGGCTATGCTCACAGTCAGAGAGCAGCCGTCCTCCTGTGGACTCACCACCTGCAGAGGGTCAGTGAGGGGCTGGTGCTATGAGACTTGGGTGGCATCTCTGATTGCCACCCCCCTGACCCAGAAATGGATTAAAGGGTAGAAAATGGATGGATGGATGTTAACATCCCACACCTATCTCAAACACACAAAAAGGATACAAATTGAGTGGTCTTAAAACAAGATTTGCCAATGGGACAAAGCCATTTAGTCTTATTTCTAGAACTGTTGCTTTAATTTCTCATTCCAAGGTTTTTAAAACAAGAAATTGTGTCTCATTGGCAAATCTTGTTTTAAGGCAGTCAAAATGTGCTCAAATTAAGATACATTCAGCCAAAATTTGCAGTGCACATAACAGCAACAGGTAGAAATAACCTGTAACATATCCATGTTCTGGAGAACAATCACTGAACATTTCCAAGCAGTACCTGTCCCGCAACATCTGGAAAGGCCATTCCCCTGGAGCTGTCTTGAACAAAGAGAGAGAGCAGTATACCTCAGCGTGTCAGTACTGTCCCATACTCTCTCGTGTCTCCCCTCTTCATGTCAGCTTACAACTTCTCCCGTTTTGCTCTGGACCCTCTTTGATCCCAGGCTAAACAAACCACATGTGTAACAGTGGCTCTTTGTGAGGGCTGGGAAAGCGATCAGGTGACTTGGCCTCGGGCATCATTACACACAGTCACTCCTGAGTTTCCTCCACAGAGATACTCAAACACACTGTATCAACACTCAGGATTCAGCTTGACAAACATGACTGCCTGCTTCATTTCAATTGCATTACTTTTCTCCATTAAAGCTGGACTATGTCATTTTTTCCCTTCACATATATTTTCATTAATTTCGTAGATGACGAGTTACAAAACTCAACCCAAACAAAAGCACAAAAATAAAAAAATAATCATGTAAAATTTTTCAAATGACTATTTCACCTTCCGAGTCGTTTGCTTCTAGATTATTAATTACAAATAAAACTTGGAAAAAATACCCATGGTTGTGTATAGATTATATAATGTGGCTGCATTTGATTTCGTTTGTCTTCCAACAGAAAGTCTTGTGAAAGTGAAAATGTTGTTCTGGGGAAAAAAGCAGACAAAATAAAGACGTGATGGAAGCCAAACATAAATGTGAAGACTGTTTGAAGAGCGAGGAACTAGAACTACTAGATTGTTTTATTACATATTTCCATTATGTGTGGTTTGAAAGTTAGGTTCCCCAGTTTTATTATGGCTAAAAAGAAACCGATGAGGTCGAGTTATTTCACTGCCAGTTAACATGAGAAATGTGACTTTCAAACCACATTATTTACACCGCACAAAGCTACCCTTAGTAATGTATCGGAGGAGACTAATACCAGCAATGCAACAGTCTCTGCCGCTCCCAGGATAAACAGAGGCCTAAAATTATGCAGATAAGAGCCGCCCAGTCGAACTCTGCAAACATACTCAATCATCCACACAGGGAGAGGCAGTGTATTAAGTCTGTCAGTCTCAGACACACTCGATAATGGTGAAATAGTGACATGGAAGAGCATGAAACTATCGAAAAGTGAAATTCCTATGGAAATAAGTGTTTTTTCCTAATAAATAAAAAACCTCCTTATGTGTTTGAGTTTTCAAAAAGTGCTATATAACAGCAGTAGCAGCAGCCATAGCAGTAGTAGGAGCAGTAGCCGTAACAGTATAAAACAGTAGCAGTAGTAGTAATAGTAGCAGTAGTATTAATAGCAGTAGCAGCAGTAGTAGAAGTAGTAGCAGTAACAGTATACAGCAGCAGCAGTAGCAGTAGCAATAGCATTATTAGTATGTTCTTATTGTTACTAGTATGTCCATATCACACACCCAATGTATTAAATTAAAAAATACATATAGTTTGATTTGCCAACAACAAATCAGAGAATCAAACGGTTTAAACACAGGAAAATCCAAATGACAAAGACAAAGGGACCATTGGTCCTTCAGGGGCGGGATGACCACTACCCATAAATGTTAACAAATGTGCATACGTGTGACCTTACCCTAAACAAAACCAGTCTCCATTTGTCCACATCAACAGACCAACTATTACAGCTACACATTTGTCTTAACTTTCCCTGAAGCTTGGGTGTGGGCAAACCACCACAAGCCTGCCATGTGGCCTGGACAGAGACGAACGAGTCTTTCTGTGATGCGTGCAACATGCCAGAGGACCGTGGCTCCCTGAAGGTCAATTATTGCCGCGGGACATTGGACACAAAGCTCCAGCGGGCCGTCCATCTGCCCCAGCGCTCACAGGCACGCTCCAAACCCGCTCAAGTTCACATGGAGAGAAGCCGTTTCCCCTTTCCACCAGCCACGCCTCGCCCCCAGCTGCTCCCACAAGTATCAGCTTTGTGACCAAGAGACCGGCTTGTCTTCTGTTACAGAGAAATCCCCCGAAAACATGTCACATTTCAGTTTCATTCACCGACAAACACTCTCCAGATTTCCTCTAATTGTGTTGTCTTTTTTTGTGTGTGCTCTTCACGTCTAAGTCCACTTGTGGTCCCTCGGGCGGACATACACACAAACATGATGCCACTGTAAGTCACACTATAGACAGATCAAATGGAACGGTTACAGAGTGCGAGGGTTTTGGACACGCCATACAGTTTCGGGGATGTCAAAGAAGTGGTTTTAACTGGGCAATACTGTGGCTTGCAAAAAAACTAATTTCATTGTTTTTTTTTTTTTTTTTTTTTTATAGTGTTGTGTGTATCTGTTTTTGCTCTGAACTACGAGTCTGAAATTAAAGCTTTCCTCGTCATTAACTGAATACTTGTGCAAGTTCAACTTTTCTTTAAAAACCACTTCACAGTTGTTTGTTCTTTTGATAAACAAAAGTAATAAATAATGTTTATAATAATAATGTTTCTATTTGTTATTGTAAATATGACGAAATGTACAAAAGTTCAGTTATAATTTAGTTATATAAAAGTTATATTGGTACTTATACAAGCCACTGGAAGTACGTTTTATTTTCATTCAAACTAGCTTTCCAACTAGCTAACCATTTGGGCTACAAATAACTAATTTTCACTTGAAACAACACAATAAGACATGTCCAAATACCAAAGACAGCAACATATATTATCAAAGAATTGTCTAAAAAGAATAAACAAATATCTATGTTTGTCAATATTTGAACTTTGTTTGTATATTTCTTTTCTATATAGAATCCTTCTGGGATATTTCAATCTAATTTCATTTGCATTTTATAAAATCCAACGAAGACAAGACTAGAGCTGCACAAACTTTGCGCCTCACAAATACTAGAAAATCTTTCAAGAACCCCCTGTAACACCCTGCCTTCATCCAAGGGTCTGCGCACCCCCAATTGGGAAACACTGGACGAGAGGACTAACTGAATATGTGTCTACTAAAACAACCGTTATTGACACTTAAACATAGAATTTACGGATAAGGACAATATTTTTGAATATTTCCCGTTATGTACAATACATGTTGCTAGTTTTTGACCAATTGCTCAAGACACAGGAATACATGGCAAGATACTTAAACAACTTTGATTTCTACCAAGTCAAAGATGGCTCCTCCTTTGCCGTGTTCGTGAATGGTAAACACAGGAGCAGTGGAGCACCTGCTGCTCTGGACACTAATGTTTTTTAAAGAGCTTAACTTTAGGATTAGTGCACTCACGCTCACGTTTGGGGTCAGAGAGTCAAACATTACTGGGTCACTGTCACACACCTGCACCCTCTGTTACTACTGAGACAGCTTAGGACCAGACCAGGACCAGGATCAGGACCAGGACCGCACCAAAGACACACACATGTTCAGGACCTGGATCAGTCTGCTATAACTGCTGCGGTTATAAAGTTATATGGTATACTCTGCAATAAAGTGGTGAGAATAATTGAGTACATTTTGACAGCCATAACACAAAATTTGCCTTTGGGAAAAGCAAAATGATCTGTTATCAAAAAGAAATGTCTCCCCTGGAATGAGAAAAAATGCAACAGTTGAGAATCATAGCTCGTCCCAAATCTTGTTTGAAGACAGTCAGAATGTATTAAATTAAGATAAAAATCATTTAATTCAAGCAATTTTTACCTCATATTTTATCGTTTTTGCCATGTATAATGTTATGTCATGGCTGGGGTAGAGTTTGCCTCCTCTTGGCTGCTTGGAGATGATGTTGCCAGAATGTCCTACAGAATGACTTTTCACGATCATCACTGTATCAACTCAACAATAAATCATCATTTTCTTTGTCAGACTGGGGAGATTTATGCTTTGATTTATTTACAGAAAAATCAAACACACTCTCACATCTGTTTATCTGTATCACCAGTTTTCACATTCATGTATTATAATTAGGGGTGTGACAATATATTTAAATTTTTCGATATATTGTGATTCTTTTTCCCGCGATTCGATTATCAATATGCATTTGCCAAGTATCGATATCGATTTAAAAAAA